TGCTTGAGTCAAGAATTGGAACGAAAACGCCCGTATACTGGCAAAGGAGAACGTCCAGTGAAATTGTTGCATGACAACGCCAGGCCACACATTGCTTCCAATACAAAAGACACCATAATGAGTCTTGGCTGGGACGTCTTGCAACACTCGGCGTATTCACCAGACATTGCTCTATCCGATTATCACTTGTTCCGGTCGATGCAACACGCCTTGTCCGATATGCACTTCCAATCAGTGGATGAAATCCGAAAATGGCTTGACGACTTTATCGTGTCCAAAGACGTAACATTTTTCCGAGATGGAATTCATCAGCTGCCTGAAAGATGGCTTAAAGTTGTAGAAAGCAACGGCAAATACTTTGATTGACAATTTAATTTACTTTCTTTTAAAATAAACCTTGAATGTAGCTGAAAAAATTGAATTATTCATTTGTACACCTAATACTTTCATTTTTAGCGTATATCATTTAAAATACGAGGCATATATGAAAATGGTTTACATGAAAGTTGTAATGTATTTCATCCTCTTTGCAACTGTGTATTCAGATTTTACAAAATTGGAGGAGGGCGGATTTCAAAATTTTTCAATTTTGTAAAATCTGAATACACAGTTGCAAAGAATATAAAATACACTATAACTTTCATATAAACCATTTTTACATATGCCTCGTATTTTAAAAGATTTAAAAGATTACACTAAAAATGAAAATTGTTTTTCTTTCGAAGGTTTCATCCCCTTAGACTGGAATTCCGCATAAACGAAAAAATAGTATTGCATTACGAATGAACTACTTTATTTCCACATAAAGTTTCAGAATTTTTTGAATTTCCGCATTCCCTATGTTTCCTTATAAAAATTTTTTAGCAATGTATTCCAACATTTTGGAGCAGACACAATCTCTCGAGAAGAACAGGCTTTTTCATATTTTGTAATTATTTCCTAAACTATGAGATATATGAAAAAATGTTTTGTACAAAAATTGTAGAATAATTTATATTCTTTAAAACGGTTTGCTGAAATTAAAAAAAAGATGCAGAATTTTTAATATCCCCTCTCTGTTCATTACTTCTTGTAAATTTTTTAACTTTCAAGGGCGGAAATTGAAAAGTTTTGAATATTAAATTCACCCATATACAGGGTGTCCAATTTTAAAGTTTACAGTCTTATATTTCGTAAACCGATGATTTTATTGAAAAATATTTCAAACAGAAGTTGTAGGGTTCAGAAAGAGATATCTGACGGTGACCTTGGCTTGATCTTGGATTGTCGTTTAAAAGTTACGTAAAGGTTAACTTTAAAATCCTAAGTGGAACTCTCATTTTTATTGCATATTCTTGTAGCTCTTGTCGAAACGTTTTCAAAACACTATCTACTTTTGTCTTTTGCCTAAGCCATTCCCAAGATATGAAGCTTCGAAGTTGACATACCGCCGGCATTTGCATTACCCGATGTACACCGCGAGGTGGATTGCTCGGTCGGATTCGTACATCATAGTGACTCTAAAAAGAGCCAATTATGTGTATGTATGTGTGTATGTGCGAAGGGGGGCAGCTCATTCATCATAGATGTTCGAAAACGCCGCCATCGACAGTTCGGCACACTCGAACTCGCTTTTCGAAACTTTCGACGAGTTTCAGAAGAACGTTTGTTGGAATCGCTCGACACGCATTTCTGATGTGATCCATCATATCCTGTCGTGCCGTTGGCGGTTGACGGAACACTACGCTTCAAAAATTCCCACAGATAAAAATCCAGAGGAGTAAGGTCATGTGATCTTGGCCATCAAAGTGGACCATCCCGACCTATCCATCGATGAGGGAAAATGGTATCGAGGTGATTCCCAAAGGAAAATAAACTATGATGTATAAATCCGATCGAGCAACCTCCCTGCGGTGTACATCGGGTAGTGCCGGCGATATGTCAACTTTAAAGCTTCATATCTTGGGAATGGCTTCCGCAAAAGACAAAAGTAGGTAGTGTTTTGAAAACGTCTCGATAAGGGCTACAAGAATACGTAATAAATGGGGAGTTCCATTTAGGATTATAAAGTTGACCTTTACGTGACCTTCAAACGAGAATTCAAGATTAAGCTAAGGTCACAGTTAGATATCCTCTTCTGAACCCTACAACTTTTGTTTGAAACATTTTTCAATAAAATCATCGGTTTGCGAAATATAGCACTGTAAACTTTAAAATTGGACACCCTGTATTGGATGATTGTAAAAGTTCGTGCCCGATTTTCACTGGTGGTAGTAATACTAGTATTACCGCATGGTGATGTTAGTGTTTATTTTATGGCTATTCTGTACACCACTAGATAAGTGATAACGTCATAAGTCTTTCGAATGTCCGACGCAGTTGATTTAAGTCCATTTGGAAGCGTGGAAGAAATTTTTAAAAATGAAGAATGAAAAGTTACATTTTTGCCATGTCATGTTACACGAGTTTCGGAAAACAACTACAACAAAACAAAAACAATTACAACAAAAAACATTCAGGACCTTTATTTGGATCGTGCTCTTATTCTCCGAACAGTAGAAAAGTGGTTTGACAGATTTCAAAATGGCGATTTTAATCTAGATAATCAATCTCACTTTGGACGGCGAAGTTTTTTTTGCATCTTCTGACATTGACGACATTGTGCGTGCCTTAGTGAAAAATAATAACCAAGGATTACTGAACTGAAGAGAGACTGAATATTGACAATTCGACTGCATTTCGCCATTTAAAGAAACTTGAATTCACTTCCAAACTCGATACATGGGTGCCGCATTCCTTGACGGAAAAAAATAAGCTGGACCATGTCTCTGCCATTTCTCTGTTCGGACGCCATGAAAAAAAACCTTTTTTGAATTAAATTATTACAGGAGATAAGAAGCACAATAACGTACATCGAAAAAGAAGCTAGAAATAAGCAGATGAAAGTGCAGAACCAGTGGCAAAAGCTGGCTTGCATCCAATGAAGGTGTTGCTATCTGTTTGATAGAATTGCTTGAGGATTGTTTGAGGAATCATTTTCTTCCAGCTTCTTCCACGGCAAAATAATCAAAACGAATCAAATACTGTGAGCAGCTAACTAAACTCAATGTGGAATTCCAAAACAAACGTCTGATTTTGGCGAATCGAAAAAGCGTTATCTTCTATCATGACAAGATCAGATTACATGTTGTTCAACAGAAAATTGCAAAAACTGAAGGAGTTAAAATGGGAAATCCTCCAATATTCATCGTATTCTCCAGAGTTTGCGTCTTCAGATTTTTATCTGTTCCGGTCTCTATAGAATATTTTAAATGGAAAGAAATTTGATTCCATAGAGGCTATGGACTACCTCTTTCTTTGAAGGAAAATCATGTAATTTCTATAAAGAAGGAATTCGCAAGTTGATAAAACATTGGGAAATGTAGAAAATGATGGTGACATGCATAGTTGATTAACAAACCTATTTTCATTAAAATGTAACTGCTTGTGTTTTATTTTTAAATTGGTCACAAACTTTTGCAATCATCCAATATAATGCTAGAAGCTGGTCACGATTAAATTTTTAGAAAACAACACGATAACATCGTACTATATAGGCGCTGTGCAAATAGGTAGATATCATTAGATTGCGTTACTTTCGTTTACGTATATTATGCTTCATAACTGCTTATGCGTATTTCTTCATGAGATGAAAACAAATTAATTTTAATGATATGATAGATGACATAACATATTCCGTGAAATATAAACATGATCATAGATAAATATGCATATGTGATAAAAGTAGCAAATGTTTGCGTCACCGCTATTTATATAGGGTATCTCAAACTATTTGAATAATTTCTTGTGGAGACATAGAGCGAAAGAGCGGCAAAATAAAACTTGCGCATAACGTCGCATTATCTTTCCCTTCGCCATGCGCTAACAACAGTTGCTAAATCGACTGGATCCACTCTGTGTCCCGAGTAGCTGCAATACTTCTCGACACCCGTTAATTCTTCAGAATCTTCACGAGTGATTGTCAAGTTGTCTGGTATATCTTGTATATATAATTGGCAAATTAACTTTTGTTCTACGTCACTGCAGTTTCTCGTACCTTATATTACATTCCTATAAAAAAAAATTATTGGTATAGTAATCCGACAAACTTTTATAAATTTAAATAATATCAAGGCAAAGAGTGACAAGTATATGGGAGTAATAAAAATTAATAACAATAAATATTTCCATGTTTACAAAATTATATACAGGGTGACCCATTTTAATGTACCACCCCTATAAACTTTTCATTTTTAATTGTAGAAAAAAATACTTCAGACGAAAGTTGTTTAGTTTAAAAGGGGACATATGATCACGATGTAAGTCGTGTCGTAGTTGTGACCATTTTCATGAAAATTTGAAGGTGACTAATTTTTTAAATAGAACTTGATTTTTTCTTGAGATAGAAGTTGTAGATCTCGTCGAGATATTTAAAAGCGCTACTCATAATTGTGTTTTGCATAAGCCGTTCTAGAGAACTTCAAAGTTTACAAAGCCCAGACTGACTTCACCTGTATTGATCGTGCAAAAAGATTTAATGGTTGTGCTAAACTCTTACCACTCTAAATTTCTATCCACTACTCTACTTTTAGCGCTACTCAGAAATAACGGTGTAGACGTAGAAAGTTTATGTTCCCTTTGGGATGCTTGATTTACGTGAGTCCCCTTGCCTCTCACGTCTACGCAATTTCTTATCGCAAATGGTCAAACACACCTCCATTTTGATCGATACATTGTGTCACGCGTAATCGAAAATTATTTTCGACACTTTGCCATGTATGTACCGTCAGTGATATCTTGGAAAGCGCGTTCAATTCGTAATTTCATGTCTGTGATAGTTGTAGGTTGTGTCGCGTACACTTTTTCTTTGATATAACTCCACAGGAAAAAAATCCATAGGCGTGAGATCGGGAGATCTTGGTGGCTACTCTTGGGTTTGACTATCTATTCCAATTCACCTTCTATGGAATTTTTCGTTAAAGTATGTGACGGTCAAGCGATTCCTATGGGCAGGAGTGGGCATCATCTTGCTGCCACCACATCCTACGACATATGTAGAAATTTACATCTTCGAGGAGGTTTGGCAATTTGTTTTGCAGCAATTGCAAGTAAGTTTTCCTATTTAAATGACCTTCGAAATAGTGAAGTCCAATTACATGGGTTCCGATAATGCCACCCCAAACATTAATTGGCCACTGACGCTGGTGCTCCACGCTCCGCTGTCATTGTGAATTATTATTACACCAATAATGGCAGTTGTGTCCATTCAGTCCTCCTCTGTTGTTAAATGTTGCTTCATCTGTAAATAGAATGTGTGTAAAGAAAGGTGGGTCCGTCTGATATTGATTTCTAACCCAGTTGCAAAATTGAAGCCTACGGTTAAAGTTTCCAGCTTGAAGCTGCTGTGTCGAAGTATGTGGTAGGGATGGAATTTCTCAAATCTCAATATTCGACTTACCGTACTTTGTAGGATACCATGCTCGTATTGAATCATCCTTATCGAGATGTAGAGATTTTGCTCTACTGCTGCCAGTGTCACCAGAATCTTATTTTTTTGTGGGCCAGTCTTCTTCCTGTTACGTTTACATGACCCTGTTGAGCCCGACGAAGCAATGCTTTCATAGTCCTGCGCGTTAGGTGTCGTCTATCGGGATATCTCGCGGCATACATCCTTTCCGCTGCTTTCATATTGTCATCGCACAACCTGACTATTTTTATCATGTCGACTATTTCCTCTGAATTGTAATCCTCTATAATTAGTAATGTAATGAGTAATCGAAGCACTGAGCTATAAAATTTTTGCTAAAGCGCTTGTGAATGTTATACGAATTCGTAGTATGTACTAATCGTAATCATAGTTCCGAAATGTATTCTTAAATACAAATACTCGACAACTAGTAAAATTATTTCGGATTTGTATTTCTATTTGTATTTAATACAAATGAACATACTACGAATCCGTACAACAAATACAAGCGCTTTAGCAAAAATTTTATAGCTCAGTGCTTCGATTACTCATTACATTACTAATTATAGAAGATTACAATTCAGAGGAAATAGTCGACATGATAAAAATAGTCAGGTTGTGCGATGACAATATGAAAGCAGCGGAAAGGATGTATGCCGTGAGATATCCCGATAGACGACACCTAACGCGCAGGACTATGAAAGCATTGCTTCGTCGGGCTCAACAGGGTCATGTAAACGTAACAGGAAAAAGACTGGTTCACAAAAAAATAAGATTCTGGTGACACTGGCAGCAGTAGAACAAAATCTCTACATCTCGATAAGGATGATTCAATACGAGCATGGTATCCTATAAAGCACGGTAAGTCGAATATTGAAATTTGAGAAATTCCATCCCTACCACATTACTTCGACACAGCAGCTTCAAGCTGGAAACTTTAACCGTAGGCTTCAATTTTGCAACTGGGTTAGAAATCAATATCAGACGGACCCACCTTTCTTTACACACATTCTATTTACAGATGAAGCAACATTTAACAACAGAGGAGGACTGAATGGACACAACTGCCATTATTGGTGTAATAATAATTCACAATGACAGCGGAGCGTGGAGCACCAGCGTCAGTGGCCAATAATGTTTGGGGTGGCATTATCGGAACCCATGTAATTGGACCTCACTATTTCGAAGGTCATTTAAATAGGAAAACTTACTTGCAATTGCTGCAAAACAAATTGCCAAACCTCCTCGAAGATGTAAATTTCTACATATGTCGTAGGATGTGGTGGCAGCAAGATGATGCCCACTCCTGCCCATAGGAATCGCTTGACCGTCACATACTTTAACGAAAAATTCCATAGAAGGTGAGTTGGAATAGATAGTCAAACCCAAGAGTAGCCACCAAGATCTCCCGATCTCACGCCTATGGATTTTTTTCCTGTGGAGTTATATCAAAGAAAAAGTGTACGCGACACAACCTACAACTATCACAGACATGAAATTACGAATTGAACGCGCTTTCCAAGATATCACTGACGGTACATACATGGCAAAGTGTCGAAAATAATTTTCGATTACGCGTGACACAATGTATCGATCAAAATGGAGGTGTGTTTGACCATTTGCGATAAGAAATTGCGTAGACGTGAGAGGCAAGGGGACTCACGTAAATCAAGCATCCCAAAGGGAACATAAACTTTCTACGTCTACACCGTTATTTCTGAGTAGCGCTAAAAGTAGAGTAGTGGATAGAAATTTAGAGTGGTAAGAGTTTAGCACAACCATTAAATCTTTTTGCACGATCAATACAGGTGAAGTCAGTCTGGGCTTTGTAAACTTTGAAGTTCTCTAGAACGGCTTATGCAAAACACAATTATGAGTAGCGCTTTTAAATATCTCGACGAGATCTACAACTTTTATCTCAAGAAAAAATCAAGTTCCATTTAAAAAATTAGTCACCTTCAAATTTTCATGAAAATGGTCACAACTACGACACGACTTACATCGTGATCATATGTCCCCTTTAAACTAAACAACTTTTGTCTGAAGTATTTTTTTCTACAATTAAAAATGAAAAATTTTTAGGGATGGTACATTAAAATGGGTCACCCTGTATAACATATAATTCTTCGCCAACGTAATAGAGAACTTAGATTCGTAAATTATTATGATACTTTAACAATATATAAGTAATTTATTTTATTTTATATTATATTATAAATACGTGGTACATACTGGTGTCCACGAATTTTTCACAAATATTCGAAGTGTCCATGAGTTTGAAATCTTGAAATAATTATTTCAACATACATAGATCTGGACCCTTATGTTTAGAGCTACATTTAGACAGGCCGAAAGAGTACTTAAATAATATTAAAATAATTTAAAAGTATCGACAGAACTAAAATAATTGAAATATATATCCTTAAGGATTTTTGGTAAATTGTTACTCTTTCTCTCTCTCTCTCTCTCTCTCTATACAGGGTGTTTGATAGCTGATCATGTAGACGAAAGTTGGAGATAGATTGAGTGTAGCCGAGAAGAAAAGTCATGTACCATAATGTCAAATTGCCAATAGTTATCGAGTTATTAATTAAAACATTTGAGCCAACGAGCACGTAGAGAGCGGAGGGCGGCCGCAGTAAGCACGTAGACATTTGATACAGGCGGAGTCAACGAGTGACGATAGGCAAGCGCGCGCAGCGAGCGGCAACCATAAGCGACAAGAGGCGAGCGCGCGCGACGAGGAGCAAGCGAGCACGAACGACGAGCGAGCGAGCGCAAGCGACAAGAGGCGGCCGCCCAACGCTCTCTACGCGCTCATTGGCTCACATGTTTCAATTAATAACTTGATAACTATTGCCAATTGGACATTATGGCACATGACTTTTCTTCTCGGCTACACCCAATCTATCTCCAACTTTCGTCTGCATGATAAGCTTTCAAACACCCTGTATATATATATATATATATATATATATATGTATTCTATGTTGAAAATTTAAATATTTGCATTAGAACAAAATAATGAGAATGTGCAAGTTTAACGTCCTATGACATATGTATATATATATATATAAATTATAAATTAAATTAACTATACAGGGTGTTCGATAGCTGATCATGCAGACGAAAGTTGGAGATAGATTGGGTGTAGCCGAGAAGAAAAGTCATGTACCATAATGTCAAATTGACAATAGTTACCGAGTTATTAATTAAAACATGTGAGCCAACGAGCACGTAGAGAGCGGAGGGCGGCCGCAGTAAGCACGTAGACATTTGATACAGGCGGAGTCAATGAGTGACGATAGGCAAGCGCGCGCGGCGAGGGGCAACGTAAGCGACAAGAGGCGATCGCGCGCGAGCTTTTTCTTTATAGCTTTTTCCTTATAGCTCGCTCGTTCCTCGTCGTTCGCGCTCTCTCGCTCTTCGTCGCGCTCGCTCGCCTTTTGTCGCTTGCGCTCGCTTGCTCCTCGTCATTCGCGCTCGCTCGCTCCTCGTCGCGCGCGATCGCCTCTTGTTATTTACGTTGCCCCTCGCCGCGCGCGCTTGCCTATCATCACTCATTGACTCCGCCTGTATCAAATGTCTACGTGCTTACTGCGGCCGCCCTCCGCTCTCTACGTGCTCGTTGGCTCAAATGTTTTAATTAATAACTCGATAACTATTGGCAATTTGACATTATGGTACATGACTTTTCTTCTCGGCTACACCCAATCTATCTCCAACTTTCGTCTGCATGATCAGCTATCAAACATCCTGTATATAGAAAGGGAATGTATGATTCATTAGATCACTTTATACTGTGACTAAAAATAATCATGCGACTAGTGTTTTTAAGAAAAGTGTCTTAACATAAAATGTTTTTAAGATAAAGGGAAGTAAAATTTCTGAGAATACATCATTGACTAAAGACAAATAAGATAAAAGAAAACTTATAAGTGTGTCGCAGCAAGGAAACTCTAGAAATTTAGTATTTGTTTAGATAAAAAAGTAAGAGCTCAAAATAGAAAAATGTAAAATACGGAGGTTTCTCTAAGAGTAAAGTAAGAGAGCTTTGCGATATGTAATAACACACGGCATCTCGAGTAGGATATGACATCTTTTCTTTTATGTGCTCTTATCGCTTAAAGACATACGGTCAAATTTTTATTTGCGATTCATTGAAAACGGTCAAATTCACTTGGCAATGCCATAAATATGCAGTATGTCACTGTTGTTATATTTCCACATTCATTCATGTTTACATTTTTATCTCTGTAATATGTTGCATATTATATCTTGAGAGTTAATCTATTTCCATGTATTGTAGTATGAAAATATTATATATATACAAGTAGTTATTAAATATAATGCAACTAGAGAGAGATAATGCAATACCTGCAGTGTGATATAGCACGCCTATAGTACGAATTTAATATGTTATTTTCCAAAAATTTATTAGGAGTACAAATAAGTTTCCGCCGTTTGACAAAAGATGGCCCCACCAGAAGGTTATGTTGAAATTGTTAGATGTAAAACGTAATATCGTAAGTTTGGACATCTAACAACATAACCTTAAAGTATTAGTGACTCCGTATCACATAATTTTTTTCGTGCGAAAATGTCAAGTTTTGTGCCGAATATGCGTCATTTGCGGGAACTTTTGATTTACTTCTTTAATTTGAAGAAATCTGCAGCTGAGGCGCATCGATTGCTTGTAGAAGCATATGGTGAGACTGCTTTAAGTGAGAGAAATTGTCGTGAGTGATTTCAAAAGTTTAAAAACGGTGAGTTTGACGTGGAAGACAAAGAACGTAGCGGAAGGCCGAAAGTGTACGAAGACACGGAATTGGAAGCATTATTGGAGGAAGATTCGTGCCAAACGCAAGAAGAACTTGCACTTACATTAGAAGTGACTCAACAAGCAATTTCACATCGTTTAAAATCGTTGGGAATGATTCAAAAACAAGGAAATTGGGTTCCATATGAACTGAAGTCGAGAGACGTTGAACGCCGATTTTGTACGTGTGAAATGCTACTTGCCAGACATAAAAGAAAGGGTTTTTGCATCGTATAATCACTGGTGATGAAAAATGGATCCTCTACGATAACCCAAAGAAGAGAAAATCATGGGGGCCACCTGG